TTTTTGTTTTTTTTCAGTACCCCTTTTTTTTTTTTTTTTTTTGTAATGGACAGTGACATATTCTATTCAAATTTCACTATTTGGATCTTCAGTTACTCTAAATATAATGCTGTTCAGATATACAGGCGTACAGTAATATACAGAGTATTAGTTAGTTGGTTTATACTTCCAGTTAAGATCTATACTCTTAGAAGAGAGGTAATAATATGTGCTTTTAAAGTACTGTGTACCTTTAAGATACTAATATTAAGGGGTGATAAGGTACAAACATATGTCTTTTAGCTTTTGTACCTTAGGTAATGAAAAGTATGAATTTCCTTATTCAGGCTAAAGTGGATAATCTTTAAAGTGATGTGACATGTGGCCAAGTATGGTGACCCATACTCGGAATTAGTGCTCTGCATTTACCCATCCAAAGCGCTGTACATTCACTCCTCCCACCTACAATCCCTGCCGGTACGAGACTCGAACCCACAACCTTTGGGTTATGAGTCCGACTCTCTAACCATTAGGCCAGATAATCTTTAGAAAACCCATCTGCGTGTTCTTAACTGGATATAGCACATTTATGGTAGATTAGGGCTGATATCCCAAAGGTTGTTGGTTGAAACCCAAAAGTTGAAAGGGGACTTACAGGAGTAAGTGAGGTTTGCTTGCCAACCACTTAACCCCAGGTTGCCCAAGGGTTAGTCACCGCATGCCATGTTTCTATGAGTGAGATTAGGTGAAAATATGGGTGGGGATTTTTTTCTCAATAACTCAATTTTCTAAATTTTGGCTTGTGACATGAACTGTAGTAACACGGGGAAATCAACTTTAAAGTCACTAGTTTCCTGATCCTGCAGTGTTGAAGGTTAAGTAAAGTGCTTCTGATAATATCATTCCTCTCAGTCTCAGTATGACTGCTTGGATGAAGAAATAAATGTATATTTATGATCCACACATGCTGTCCGGAAGGTACTTTTGCATACTACTCAAAAATGTAGTGACTCAGTCACTGGTCATCTATTAGGGGTTATCAAAAAATTAAGGTTGTTAGGGACCAAGACACGAATAAATTGTTAAAGGTCCAAACTTTTGACTGACAGTAACTGAACAACAGCAAACGAGAATTTTTTTTTTTACAAAGTGTATTAAAATAAATATATTTATTTACA